CGAGGGTGCCGGAGCGGCCTCAGGGCCCAGCGGGCGACGCTGCCTTCTGGAGGAGCAGGAGGCTGCGCAGGCGGAGAGGCGTAGCGTGCGGCCTGTAGGAACCGGCTGGGGGCATCTCCGCGCGTCGCGGGCAGCCGGGCCGTGCGTTCCCGCTGCCGGCGTCCTGGGCATCGTGTCCTCCCGTGACAGGTTCTCTGTTGGCCGGTCTTGCCGGAGCGAGGTATGAATCGTCCTCGCGAGCCTTGTTCCTGAGCAGAGCGTGACTGAGGGTTGGCGATCAGAGTTTTTCAGGCTCCAGTGCCTTAGGGAATTCTTTGTGCGTGGAGGGCAGGGGCCTGAAGCCAGAGTGGCTCCCTCCCACCCTGGCCTCTTCCTCCTTGGGTCAAAGGCTAGGCCTTGATTTTCTAACCTGCCGAATGCCCCGGCTGACTGTACTTCGTGTTGAGGGTCTGCTGTACAATAAGACTGCCAGCTTACTGCTGTGGAAGTCGCGGTGGCGATGACCCTGTCACTGACTCTGTGGCCTCAGGGGTCTCTGGTGTGCATCTCATCAGCTTGGCTGAGCCTTTGCCACTATTCCTGTGTCATCTGAGCGGTCTCTGAACTGGGACCTTCTGAAATCCGTGGGTCTTGTAGGGCTTGGTGGTTCCCCAGGAAGGAGGGAGATGTTGAGACAGGTATCAAGGACCACAGGTGAGGCCTACCTTCTCTCAGGGCTTCTCATGCTGCGTGACACCTCAGGCGTTAGTGGTTACAAGGCTCATGCTGAGGGATTTCATGGGCCATGTCGTTTGGACCCAGCATCCCTGCAGTGCATGGTGCTGGCTAGACCTGAGGCTAGCCCTTGAGAGCCTGTTAGGTGGCTTCTGGTTTCCTGAGAGTATCGGACACTTAGTATCGATGAAGGTGGGTGGGGAAGGGCCTGAATGCTATTCTGCTGTGAGAAATGATTTCTAAAGTGGCTTTGTGATTTGGGAGGCTTGAAGAGGGCCTTGAAGAACAGTAGTTGTCTGGTAGACTCACACAAAAGTGAGCAGATCATTGGTGTCATACCACATACTTACTGACACTTTCTTTAGAGTGGCACTGTGCTTCTGGAGGGCAAAGACGAGTGTGCCCATAGCCCAGGGGCTAGGCACCTACCTGTTGTTCCTCTGCGCCACTGTTTGCCAACTCTGTGCTGGCACCGTGTTGGGTTTCCCCAGCACTGGTGTGGAGGGATGTGGCCTAGGGTCTGTCTTCCCACTGAAGGTCCCTCTGCTGCAGGTGGCTACTTGCCCAGCCGAGCGCCATGCATACGCTTGTGTTCCTGAGCACGCGGCAGGTGCTCCAGTCCCAGCCAGCCGCCTGCCAGGCCCTGCCCCTGCTGCCACGGGAGCTCTTCCCCCTGCTGTTCAAGGTGGCCTTCATGGACAAGAAGACAGTTGTCCTGCGTGAGCTGGTACACACATGGCCCTTCCCGCTGCTCAGCTTCCAGCAGCTACTGCAGGAGTGTGCCCACTGCAGCCGGGCCCTGCTACAGGAACGGCCCAGCACAGAGAGCATGCAGGCCGTGATCCTGGGGCTGACTGCGCGGCTCCACAGCCCAGATGCTGAGGCCAGCACGCAGCCCCTCTGCAGGTATGGTCGCCATTGAGGGGCCCTAAGGCTGGTGGGTGTGGGGGGTCCCCTGATGAGGGTCCAGGAGTAGGCAGTGGGAAGAGGGTGTGGGCCCTGCCCCCTCATCCCTACTTCAGGCCATCTTGCTCCCAGGAAGCATGTGCTGCGAGTGCTCGACATGACAGGTCTCCTGGATGATGGCGTAGAGCAGGACCCAGGCACCATGAGCATGTGGGACTGCACAGCCGCCGTGGCCCGCACGTGCATTGCCCAGCAGCGGGGCGGCACTACGGAGGCTGGGCCGGCCCCCGTCCCGGTGGAGGTGCGTGTGGACCTGCGAGTGAATCGGGCCTCCTATGCGTTCCTGCGGGAGGCACTCCGAAGCAGCATGGGCAGCCCACTGCGGCTGTGCTGCCGGGACCTGCGGGCTGAGGACCTGCCCATGCGCAACACGGTAGCCCTGCTGCAGCTTCTGGATGCAGGCTGCCTGCGCCGGGTAGACCTGCGTTTCAACAACCTGGGCCTACGTGGCCTCTCTGTCATCATCCCGCACGTCGCCCGCTTCCAGCTCCTAGCCAGCCTGCGGCTGCACTACGTGCACGGGGACTCACGACAGCCATCTGTGGATGGTGAGGACAACTTCCGCTATTTCCTGGCTCAGATGGGCCGCTTCACCTGCCTGCGGGAGCTCAGCATGGGCTCCTCTCTCCTTTCAGGGAGGCTGGACCAGTTGCTCAGGTGAGAGGCCCACCACTGCCCTGCTCCTCCCCTCAGTGGGGCCCCTCCCGTGGCCCTGCCGGTCTGCGACTCCTCTGTGACCCCTGTGTCCCCCACAGCACCCTGCAGAGTCCCCTCGAGAGCCTGGAGCTGGCCTTCTGTGCTCTGCTGCCTGAGGATCTGCGCTTCCTGGCACGCAGTCCCCACGCTGCCCACCTCAAGAAACTGGATTTGAGTGGTAACGATCTGGGTGGCAGCCAGCTGGCACCCTTCCTGGGAGTGTTGCAGGTGGCAGCAGCCACCTTGCTGCACCTTGAGCTGACCGAGTGCCAGCTTGCAGATGCCCAGCTGCTGGCCATGCTGCCCACCCTGACCCGCTGTGCTAACCTCCGCTACCTTGGCCTTTATGGCAACCCGCTATCCATGGCTGGCCTCAGGGAGCTGCTGCGGGACTCTGCAGCACAGGCCGAGCTGCGCACTGTGGTGCACCCCTTCCCTGTGGACTGCTACGAGGGTCTGCCTTGGCCTCCACCTGCCTCTGTCCTTCTGGAGGCCTCCATCAACGAGGAGAAGTTTGCCCGTGTGGAGGCTGAGTTGCACCAGCTACTGCTGGCCTCGGGGCGCGCCCACGTGCTCTGGACCACAGATATCTATGGGCGCCTGGCTGCAGACTACTTCAGCCTGTGACTGCACTTGCAGTCCCCCAGGTAGGCGGAGCCTTTGCTAGGACTCTGCTGGGGGTCTCAGGTTTCCTCAAAGCCTGCTTTGCTCCTGGCTGCACCTGGAGCCTCCCCTGCTTTCTGCAGTGCCCACAGCTTGCCCCTCACCTGCTCCCTAACTAGCAGACCATCAGTGGGCCTGAGGGCTGGACCTCAGGCCTTGTTGCCCTGCTGTTCGGCTACCTGGGGCCCTTGGTCTTGGCAATCCTGGGAGTCCTATCTGTGAGCCGAGAGACATGGGGGTCTCTCTGCACCCTTCCATCCTCTTACTTAAGAGCCCAGGGCTCAAGTTGCAGGATCAGGCCTGCACAGGAATGGCAGCCTGCCTTGTGGGTACTTGAGCTACCTTTGGGCTGGGCTCTGAGGCTGTAGGATGTCACCAAGGTACAAACGTGCAGTGTCTGGAACTTGAAGTCTGTGGTGTCTTTTTTGTTCTACTGGACTAGCGCGACTTGCCCCTATCTTCGCTGTTGTCCAGCTTCTGCCCCACCTTGCTCAATCTGGGTCGGCATGTCCCCACCTCCCGGAGCTGTACGTGGGGTGATCCGGGAGGTCAGGTCTTCATTGCAAGCCTGCCTCCCTGGCCGCCTCCACTAGCTAAAGAGCATGAGCGTTCAGCGCCGGCCAGTCCCCGGCCCGCACGTCATCAGCGCGCGCCGCCAGCTCAGCAGTGGATTTCGTAGGCCTCCGCGGGTGTCTCGGCAAAGAGGGGCTTGGAGCGGTCTATGACGAACATCTCGTGGCCAAGCTCGCCACGGAGCTCCTCGAGCTGCGCGAAGGTGCAGGGCCCGTCTGAGTAGTCGTTGACGAATAGTGCGCCCTCTCCCGACGGCCCGCGCGCCTTTTTCCGCCGGCGCCGCCGGCGGCAGATCATGGCGGTCAGCAGAAGCGCAGTCAGCGCCAGCAGTGCGATGGCCGCTGCAATGGCCGTTTGCGTAGCCAGGCCCAACTCGCGGAAGGCCATGCTGCCTGCCTCGGCCCGGGGCTCGCGGCCGCCAGGGGGGGAGCGTGGGGGTAGCGGGGGTGCCGCCCGCTGTCGGGACGCGTTGACCAGGAGCCTGAAGGGCACGCGCGCTACGCCACCGGCGTTGGAGGCCTCGCACTCGTACTTGCCGGCGTGCGCCAGCGTGATGTTGGTGAGGAAGAGCATCCCGCTACCGGTGTCTGAGGCGGCGTGCCCGACCAAGCCCGGCGCGGCGCCTTCTAGCTGGGCCTGGGCCCGCGGTCGGCCCTCGCGAAGCTGGGGCACCTTCCTCCAGGTCACCAGGGGTTGCGGGTAGCCGGAAGCCTGGCACGCAACCCGCAGGTCCTCTCCTAGGTTGGCCACAAGCTCCAGCGGCTCCACGTGCACAGATGGCGGGATGCAGATGAGGCTGCTGCCCGGCACGTCCAGGAGACTCTGGAGTGCCAGGCGAGGCGGCTCTGCACACAGGATCTTCTTGGCCCTGGAGCTGAACAGCCTCTGGCCTCCCTCCTTGATCCACGTGCCCAGCCAGTGCAGGGCGCAGTCACAGCGCCATGGGTTGTCTGCGGACAGAACAGCAGTGGTCAGGCGGCTCCAGGACCTGTCTCTGCTGGCCAGGGCAGAGGCCCCTCTCTAGCCTCCTCACAGGAGTTCAGGACCCTTGATACACCTGTTCAGATCCAGACTCCTTGGGTTGGGGGGGAACCTCTTCACCCCCTTTTAGGTCTGTGATGCCTCTTCCAGATAATTTCTCTGCCAGTTTCCGAGAAAGCACCTGCCCCTCAGCCCTTGTAGAAACAAGTCCTCCTGCTTTGGGCAGCCTGGGTGTGCACACAGACATCCCACCAGCACAAAACCTTACAGATCCTCTCAGTCGTGTCTTCAGACTCCTGGGCCTGGGAATGTCCCTAAATCTGGTCAACTGTCTCTCCAGTTTTGGCACCTGCCTGCTCTCGGACAGCCCCCAGTGTGTAAACCCCTCAACTGTTAAGTCAACCCATAGGACTCCTGCCTTTTCTGTCTTCCTCAGAGTATTTGTGTCCCCACCAGCACCTCCATTCCCAGCACCCCTCCCCCTGGGCTGCAGGTGCTAGCGTGGCCCTTAGTGCCACCCTGGAACACCGGCCCCCCCCCACCACCACCACCACCGTGGGGGAGGAAGACATACCTGTGAGACGCAGAACTTGCAGACTGGCCAGGGGCTGCAGGGCCTCCTGGCTGATGGTGCCCAGCTGGTTCC